CGCAGAGGGATTAGCTCTTGGGCTAACACACTCGGCAGCTAGAAACACAGCACTATGCTCTCTGGCTAGATAATAGGGCCGGCATTTCAGCAATAAAAACTCTACGTCTGGCGAACAATGCTTATAAACAGTCCGTACATCTCCACACTACAAGTTATTGATAAAGGCGCACACACCGCCTCCTTTTACCTTCCCCGAAGCGGCAGTGCTGTCTTCCCGATGTGCAGAGTGGGTCTGTAGCTGAATCATGGAATCTGGGACTTTGTCAGAAAGCCAAGTCTCGGTGAAAATTGGACCACAGCATTCTCTTATTTCCCGTTGTGTTGTAATCCTAGCTCTTAGCTCATCCAGTTTTCCTGAGACTGTACGTTAGATAGGAAGAAGCTGGGTAGTGGCGGTCAGGTAGCGCAGGCTTATAGCCTAGCATGGAGTCCTCCTCTCTTGCCCCGTTTGTGTCTCCGTCTCTGGGTTGCTCTCCTGATTTCAGCTTGCTCGCTCGTGCCTGGTGCTTCCTGGGGGTGATGGTGGTTGTTGTGGGAGTGAACAATGAGTTGTATCTTAGCTGGTGGTATGAAACAAGTAAATTCCCAGTGGCTGTGTGAGTTGGCGATATCCAGAAATTCCTGTCTGTTGTTAGCAGTGCATGACATTTGTGCACTGCAGAAAGAGTAAAAAACACACACAAAAAAAGAAGAAAACGAAGAAAAAGTCGGCATTTGAAAGTGGAATGTGCAAACACGTCTGCCTAGGAGGGCACCATGTTGGTAAACCAAGGCACCTATATACAGTATGTTCAGAACCATTTTGGGGACTTTTTTTGGTCTTATTCATCTACTCATTTCCTTTAAACACCCCCCCCACACACACACAAAGAGGATAGCTCTGCAAAAAAGCAAAAGCCCTGTCATTGTCAATTGCCATAAAGGGACGCAGTGGTGGCTTACTTCAAATACCAGTGTTTCATTAGTAGGTCCAGGGGCATACAGGCTCTCTGGCTTGTTGAAAGAGCGCTGGTAGTCAAACACAGTCCCACCAAAGTAGAACTTCCCGGGCCAGTCTACAGTCCATTCCCCAGTAAGGTAGTACTTCCTGTTCAAAGACCGAATGGCCAGGTAGCTGGTGGAAACCTGTATTTCCTGAATGTGAATGCTTCGTGCCCCAGCTGGGACTGTTACCATAGAATAATACTCTGGAGAAAAAAAACAGAAGGAAAGAAAGTCAATGCTGAATTATGCTCAGATATTTGTATATTGCTGTTCTCTAAAGCCCCTTCTCCACTGCCTGGTATTGGCTCAACTCAACTTGACTCGCCTTATTTGTGTTTCCATCAGTCAAATTTTGCGCTAGTATCTGGTACTATTTTTGGTATCACCTCCATTGAGGTTCTGAGTGAGCTGAGGCAATACCTAATGTTGATGGGTAAATACTACAATCTAGCAGTTGGTCAGAGAAATCGTGTCATCAACGTATGAGACCTCTGGAGCAAAGAAAGTGCCATTTTTAAAAGCAATGTTATTTAACGTTCACTGCTACTTTACTGTAGTTACTGTACTAACTCAAAAAAGCCACATACTGACATTCAAGAACAGTATACCTTTGATGTCCTCCATTGTTACTGTGTCAGTTGTTGATGACGTCACAGCAGTATAATGCAGTGTCACTATGACAACCGGATACACTGAGAGGGGACCATCTCTAGTGAAAACCTAGCACCCAGTACCAAAAGTGAGTAGAGCTGAGTTGAGTCGATGGAAAAGGGGCTTCATTTTTATGTCATGTTTCATCACACAGCATCATCCTTGGTTTACCTCATCACACACTCAACCTTTGCTTTGCAGTGTTGTAGATGAGTCAGGTCTGAGTCACCAAAGAATAGTCAGAGTCAAGTCTGAGTCGAGTCCCTGTTACCAGAGTCTCACTCATCAAGGTCTACATGAAACACAATTAACACAGCTCTCACCGTTTTGCATGTTCTTTTTCGTTCTCTGTCTTATCTTGTTTACTTGTCTTCTCATTGCCTTACAGAAGACCAAAGTACATGCACACTGGGAGCCACTGTGCCAGAGTCAAAATCCTTGTGTGTCTAACACACCTGGCCAATAAAGCAGATTCTAATTCTTACTGTGTGTGACACAATAGCCAAACAAATGCACACACGCACACAACTTATTGTATAAGTGAACAGTGTGAATTTAATTTTTTAATACATGGAGTACAATTCTATGGATGTGTGCTAGACATCCATGTGTGTCTAGCACAGATAAACACGTTTTAATATCAATATCTTATGCCATATTATTATGGCCTATTAAAAAAAGTCAGTGTTCCCATGTCCAGCTTCAGAGTTCAAATGCAGTCAGTGCTCTAGTCTAAGTCATCGATGCTCAAATCCAAGTCAAGGTACAAGTCCTGAAAATTAGGACTCAAGTCCGAGTCCTGGAATTGAGTACTACAACACTGGCTCTCTGTGATGAAGGGATGATGAAATTAATCAGCCTATTATGCAGTGGGATTAGATGCATGTGTCCTTTGTTTTGCATAAATGTGTGTGCTACCTAACATATACAGACACACTGCAAAGAAAGACAAGTTTACTGTACCATTAGCCTTGTGTTGAAGGGTATATTGGCCCTTGAAAATCTTGCAAGTAGAGTTGTCTCCCTTACAGACTCCACAAGCATCCATAGTGGCCTTGGAACCCAGAATGTGGTCACAACCCACTGCCTACACACACACACACACACACACACACACACACACACACACACTATCAGTGCCAACAGTGTTGGAAAAAATAGGATGTAAATACAAATAAACGGTACTGCCAACTTTATTATAAAAGTACACAAGCCAATAGATTATACTAAAGTATTGTACCACCAAAAAGGTAACTTTAACTCCATCAGCACTGATATGTGTTGTTTTAAGTAACTACTGCACCTAGCACCTAGATGACACAGACACTATAAGGATGGTGGGGAGATGTAGCAGTACACTTAAGAGTCACTGAAATATAAGGAAAAGACACATTTGCAATAAAACGAAGAATGGTTTGGTGCTAGGAAATACAGTACAGGAAGCAAAGTACTGAAACAAAATAAAGTACTTCATGAAGCCTGCGTCTCCACCTTTCACTGCAGCACTTAATATGCTGAGGTAAATTCACACTGGGCCATATGAATTCTAATTTTACAAGCTAAAAAAAAATATACTGCACAATTTCCTTATGCCATTATGAATCCTATAAGCAATTTGATGACATATTGGCAAGAACTTCTTAAAGGACATGACTCCTGTTGACAACAAATCCCTGATTTAACACAGTTATTTAAATGTCTTATTTGGAAATGAAACTGAAAGCAAACACACCCAAAATGTTCACTGCAGTCAGTAAAATAAGCACAGGAGGTCACTGAAATTTGAGCAAGAAATGAAATTGGTTCTACAGGATCTTATAGACATTTGCACTTTAACATTTACCTTTGTTATAAGTGCTTTGGATATGTTAATATATTATATAACCTCATAATTCATAGTTGACACATAATGCCCTGCAGTAGAGTTAATGTGGCGCCATGAAGATGGAGAAAGACAGAAGTGAAATCATAATTAATAGGAATTGCAAATGCTAAGTTTATGTTTGCTAGGTTTTTAAGTAATGTGACCCACTACATTTCTTTCTGACCTTATTGCTTCACTTGTAATTCTGACGTGTTAATATGCCTTTTGGTACAATGAAAGTTTGAGTCAAATGTCAGTGTGTCTGTGCCAATAAAAGCACAAATACACCATTTTTCTATATATTCAAATCGTTACAATGCCTATAAAAAGTATTCACCTCCTTGGATGTTTTACCCTTTTATTGAATTTATAATCAATCATGGTAAATATAATTAGGCTTTTTTGACAAAAAAAATTTACAAAAAAAACCAATGTCAAATTGAAAGCAGGTTTCTACAAAGTATTGTCAATTAATGGGAGGCAGAGCCTTTAGCTATCAAGCTCCTCTCCTATGGAACCAACTCCCAGTCTCATTTCAGGAGGCAAACACCCTCTCTACCTTTAAGATTAGACTTAAGACTTTCCTTTTTTAATAAAGCTTATAGTTAGGGCTGGATCAGGTGACCCTGAGCCTCCAAGTGCTTGCTCAAGGGGGATTTGTTGGGTTTTCCCTATGTAATAATAGTGATAACAATAAGGTCTAGACCTTACTTTGTAAAGTGTCCTGAGATGACTTTTGTTGTGATTTGGTGCTATACAAATAAAATTTGATTTGATTTAGAAAATTATGCTTTTTGGCCATCAGACAAGACACTATGTTTGGCGGACACCAAATAATGCACATCACCACAAACACACCACCCCCACTGTGAAGCACGGTAGTGGCAGCATCATATTGTGGGGATGCTTCTCGGCAGTCGGCAATGGGGGCTTGTAAAGGTAGAAGGTAAAATGAATGCAGCAAAATATAGGAAAGTCCTGGAGGACAATCTTATTCAGTCTGCAAGAGAACTACAGCTTGGGAGAAGAATCATTTTCCAGCAAGACAATAACCCGAGGCATACACAGAAATGGTTTAAAGACAACATGGTGAGTATTCTGGAGTGGCCAAGTCAAAGCCCAGACCTCAATCCAATAGAAAATTTGTGGCCGGACTTGAAAAGGGCTGTTCATGCCCGATCCCCGTGCAACCTGGCAGAGCTTGAGCAGTTTTGCAAAGAAGAATGGAGTAAAACTGCAGTGTCCAGATGTGCAAGGCTGACTGAGACCTATCCACACAGAGTCAGTGCTGTGATTGCAGCCAAAGGTGCATCGATTGACTTGAAAGGAGTGAATATTTATGCAATCACTTATTTCCCATTGCATATTTTTATTTAATTGACATTACTTTGTAGAAACCTGTTTTCACTTTTGACATTTTTTTGGGTCAAAAAAGCCAAATATATCACCATGACTGATTTATAAAATCAATAAAAGGGTAAAATATCCAAGGGGGTGAATACTTTTTATAGGCACTGTATGTGTGTACGTATATTTGATGTGTACAGGTTAATGCGATGTGAAATTTACACCAAGAACAACTCCATGTACACCACAAAAACAGCCACGAAATAGCACAGGTGGCCTGTCTTAAGAAGGGAAGGTGTTAAGAGTACATTTTACTCATTCACCAAAAACTGCACTATGGAGTGTGATTATGATACTTTGTCAACTTTGTTTCTCATAGCATGTAAGTATACAAAGCCACTGTCCATGCTGTCAAAAACTCATATTCATTTAATATTTACTGTGTAAGTGAGGAATAAACTAAGTCTAGGTGCAATGTTTGATTGTGCAGTTTGAATACTACTGTTATATCTTTCGTGAGCACACAAACAACAGCCTATGTACCTCACACACTCCATCAATGCAGACATCCTCATTGTAATCCGAGCAGGAGGTGCCATCTTTGACTTTGCTGGACATAGCGAAGAAGAAGTCAAAGTCTTCTGCAATGCAGTACAGTTTACAGATGTCTTCATCTGCACGAAGAACATACAGATATATGTAATAGCAAGGCTAGAATTTAAGAAATAAATTCAAGATAGAATAAAATCTCACAAAGTTCTGCTATGACCTGGTGCATTTGATGCTTGAGTAGCCACTGCACTGTAACCTGTTATACTTACTGTACATTGTGCACAGCTTCCGCTGAAACTGAATTGGAAAAGACAAGAATTGCATATGAATGCACCCAGGGGTATTCATGTGGGGCAACAGGTTTATTTTGTAGTTCAGATCAGTTACCACAGACAAGTCTCTACTGGCATCTTTGATTAAAATAAATGATGGTGAAGCTGACTTGGCCCAAGGTCCCAGAAGGCAGCTCACAATCTGTTCCTCCCATTCATCAAGGCTTAAACAGGCCTGGGACAATGGCCAAACACACTACTCTTCTTCATTGGGCTCTCTCTCCTTCTCTCTCCTTCAGTCTATGTAACAAAGCCAGCCCACAGGCTTCCTTTTTAAATCTATACCCACTGTGTCAGAGGGTGCAAGTGGCTACATGTTTCCCATGCAAATTACACAGAGCATAGTTAGTTTTCTCCAGCGTTTTGGCCTCAATCATTACTGCAGTAAATGGAGGTTGGCATTATAGAAACACTTTATAAAGAGATTGGAACTAGCACAGTACAGTGGGGACCAAAATATAAAAAGATATGCAGAATTAAAACAAAGAAGAGTTTGCCCCAACAATCTGCACTTCTATGTATTTAGTGGCACTGTGTTATTTGAACAACAAGATTCCTTCTCTTGTCCATTATTTGCAAAGAATAAGTTAAATCATGGGATGCCAATAATCCTTTAGAAGAATTCACTAAGTATCTGTAAGTATTCTTCAGCTCTCAAAAGAATATGGACGCAAGCGAAGCTATGTCCACAATATTCTCAGAGTAAGTAATGCATTAAACACAATAGGACTGAACAGTTCCTCATCAACTGACCACCTACCATCCACTTTGGTGTAGGGCTTCCACTTATAGTACCAGCCCCTGAAGGGCTTGCTGTTGTGCTCAGCACACTGCTGGGCCCGAAAGTCCACGGCATTGAAAGGGCATGGCCGAGTGTTACACAGCTGGTTGAGGCGGCTAGAGCCGGGACAAAATTTACCATTGTTCTGTGGCCTAGGTAGAACACAGGCAAGGGAAGAAAAGGTAAGACAGAGAAGAAAAGGTTAACAGATCTGAAATGTCCTGCTTGTTTTATTGCCACACTTTTACTACTGTGTCAAACCAACAAAAGCCAATACAGCTACAGCAATAAACCAAGTCCACTACTGTAACTGTCAACTACAAGGACAATATGAAGCCATCTGATCAGGGGAACAAGGCCCACAATGCACATGGGACTGTGTAGAACTCTGCTTGTGCCTGTACTCACACAGACACTATACACATTCAATTGTTTAATATTCACATACATGTTTATGCTTAAAGGGTCCCTGTGAAGGGTTTGGCCACAAATAGCACTACAGACCATGTTTTCACAAATGGGTCCCTACAAATGGTTTTTGTCAGCAATAGTGGCAGCAACACGCAAAGGCAGTGACCAATAAGACTGCTAGGTAGTAAAAATAGATGTAAACAGTGGCTCTGTCACCTGTGACATCATCTTAAGTGTTTAAGTGCAGGAGACCTTTAAGATTAGAGTGTAATGACTCCAAAAGCTGTCTGAGGAATGTGAGAGTACTGAGTGATGCTTTCGGACTGTATGTAGTTCAGTGAACTGGGCTTTTGTGTTGTTTGGTGCGTTGCTGTTCACTGCCTCTTCATAAGTAAACAGCTGTTCCACATCAAAATATTTGAGAGTTGTCAACATAAGACAATGATATTAAAAGGAAATATCATCTTGCTGAATGTCTTCATGTTTATTTTCTTTTTCTGTCATGCAATGCCACTGTCGTTGCCATTTTAACATCACAAGTTGCATGTTGGGTTATTCTTTGGTATGCACAAGGGTTCAAAAAGCCGACCAGAGACGTGATGGCAGGACAGCCATGAGCTCTAGAAGGAGTGTGCACTTATTTTACATGTCTGTGCATAATAATGGGTCAATGCAAAATGAAAAATTTTAATTTTCATCAGATGAACATCTCAATTTAGTTGCTTCAGCTCCATTCACCTTGGCACCACTAAGGGACAGCACCCCTGCCCATCCAGCATCAGCCTGCTCCAGTACGGTTGTGAAGTCCAAACTTCCTCAGTGCTCTGTTCGATCGTATTCAGCAATATTCTTATTCACTCCTCCTCCTTTCCTGCCTGTTAGACTCATCAGTTCACCAAAAGGAAAAGCCAGCTGGCCCTCCAGCAGGAAGGCTGGTCCTTATGTAATAACATTGTAGGAATAAGGTTTATTTTGTAGTGAGGCTAACGTTCAGCAGCAAGAGTAGTCCAAAGCTTTTTGACACCTTTTCAGAGAGGCTCTGCTGGATCCTGGAAAAATAACTACGGCATTCAACATCTGGTTCATCTTCTCAATGACTTTTTGCTGGTGTCACCATCTTTATCTCCACCTGCCAAGGAGCTCTCCAAGGTGATCTCAGCCTTTTAAATGCTAGGCGTGCCACTGAAAAGACGGAGGGACCCTCCACTTCCATCAAGTTCCTGGGCATTCAGCTAAACTCTGAGCAGTTTCAGGTCTCACTTCCCAACTACAAAACTGGACAGAATCAACCTGATCATTCCAAACTTCCTCCTCACACCTTCTTGCACTAAACTGTCGCTTCTGTCTCTCTTTGAGAAACGCATTAGTATTCACTGGCTTTTGACAACTTCACTGATTGATGTCTTTGTTTTGATTATGCATTTTTGCCGTCATCTTATTGTATAGATGTTTTATCTGGTTTTACTTATTTTTATGTTTTACTATAAAACACCTTGTAATGTAGGTTTAGAAAGGTGCTATATAAAAACATTTTGCTTGCTTGGGTCACCCTCCAAATTATTCCCCAGGGTAGTGCATTTATTTCACATCTCCTTTGCCTCACATATTTCGTTCCCTCTGACACAGTCCCAATCAATGCCTCCTCTTAGTTGGAGTTACAGTTCCCGCAATACCTACTCAGCCACTGGAATGGCATCTCATTCTTCTACAATGATTTTAGCTTTGCCCCATGTGATGTTCTACTCACAACTGACAAAGCTCACTCAATCAGTTTTGGGGGAATTTGGGGTGTGCCTTTCCTGTGTAAGAAGGCTACGATATGCTATCCCCTGGACATAAGAATAAAGCTTAACCTCTCACACTAAGGTGGCATATTTGAAACATATTAAAGCTCCAAACACTGCTTGAAGTTTTTTGGTGGAGATATTCACTCAGTCATTGACTACCATGAATCTGCAAACCTCCCTCTTTTATGTTATTCAGGATAAGACTCCAAAACCTCCCTAATAACAACCAGCAGTTATAGGCAGCTACCTCCTTATACCCTCAGATGTTACTGCACTGACACATTTTTTATAAGCCAGTATACTCTGCTGTTTGAGGAAGTGTTACATTTTGTCTGAAATAACCAATAAAAGCTGTGACACTGGACACTTAAGACCATATTTGTTTTGCACAGTAGTTAGTTGACATAAGATGTTATTAAGGATAGGAAATTTAAAGGATAATGTACATTATGTAATAAGTAAGCAGTTGGATATTCTGTATAAAATATTTTCTGATATAACTTTCTAAAAACCATTTTAGCAGTTCAGTGTTGGCCTACTGTCAACCCTGTGAATTATTGTGTAATATCAAACACTGTAAATTGTGTAATATCAAACACTCACTGTAAATTGTGTAATATCAAACACTCATAACGTTTGTTAGGATCGGTGCATGTGTCAGGTTTGCCCGGCGGCACCTTCCTCTTTTCCTTCCCTCACACTAGTCAGCTCCCTTGCACTAATTGCACTATTAGACACACCTGCCCCGCTTCACTGATTCTCACCAGCTGCGCCTC